CGCCTCGGCTCGAGACGGACGCGACACTGCAGTGCTCTCTCACGGTCCTGATAATCGAACTCAATGCCAGGCCGAGTCAACCATCTTTCACCTATCTATTCTCTTACTTGTTCTGTACAGAATATAACCTTCTCCTACTCTGGTTCTCCAAGACTTCTCTGTCATCTCCTAAGGAACCGGGCCTGGAAGATCGCAGCCGTTAGGGTTAAAACTTAGTAGCCTTAAATCCTTTGCGATAAGAGCACTATATCAGCGCATGGAGACGCATTGCATTAAATTTGAATTAAAATAGTTTTTATGGGTGCTTAGAGTAAATGTTTACCCGTGCAACTTCGCCAGCTGGTGCATATACAAAGGCGACGAGAGACAAACTTCAGTCGGCACCAACTTTTGGGGAGCGCTGTCGTACGTCAAGAACGTCTCGGAGGCCGTTAGCTGCCGTTCTTGCCACGGCCGGGGACGTCTGAAATGCTTTACTGGATCTGATTCAATTGCGTAAAAAGCAAGTAAGTCGACAAAACCGGGAAATTACTCCGAATCCCAATGATCAAATATGTAGCAACAGTGAGAATCAATGACACTAGCTCTTAGCTCGTGGTTCACTCAAAGGGAATCGGCCACATCTTAAATTTTGACGAGACCAAAATTCTTGTAAGAAGTGATGACTGCGTGGGCCGTGAGCTGCTTGCGTCGTGATTCTCCGACGTGCATCTAATTAACAAGCGCGGAGGCCTTCCTTGCCTGGGCCAAAAAATTTGCCACACGAGGAGAGCGTGGTTGGTCAGCAGTCCCGATGACAGCGAATCAACTGGCCGAGTAATTGTCATGCCCAAAGAGAAATCACGAGGCTTGGTCACTCGAGTACGGACCAAATATCAATCATCGCATCAACTACCAATCCAGCGATGAGTGCGGGTGCTGCTAGTTATGGTATGCATGTGATCTTCTGGCAACTGCGTCCTATAAATAATGCGTTGCTTTTGCCTCTATTAATATTTCCTGTGGCTTCCTCTGATGATTTGTTTGAGTAAGAATCCGAAACGGCAAACTACTACACTTCTTGCTTGAGCGATCGCTTCTTCTTCTTCTTCTTCTTCTTCTTCTTCTTCTTCTTCTTCTTCTTCTTATTCTTCTTCTTCTTCTTCTTCTTCTTCTTCTTCTTCTTCCAAACTGCCTCCTGGAAAGACAGTTTGAGGATCTTATCTTCTTTCCCTAACCATGCATAGACATTACTTTATCAGCTACCTTACAGTTTTAGACAGTGTTATGTTATGTAAGCCTCCATAGCCAACATGAACCCCTTGGATTGTGGAAAACGGGAATGATGGTAATGGGGGTTGTAAGATTGGGGTCTTACCACCGAGATGCAGCGAAATATATGCAAGAAAGCATAAAAATAAGTACATTTCGGCTAATTTTCTTCTTCTAGGCCTATATATAGTAAGTGAAAGAAATTGGGTGAGATTGATATTTAAAAAAATAAACAAAAAGCAACTCTCGGGAAATAAAATGAATTTGAATCTCTAGAACCACAATAAAACAACTGTGTGCATGGCGTTCTATGAATGTACGAGTTACCACATAAAGGGTTACTACCCATGGCTATGAAATTATAAATCAAACCAATCCAGGCCCTGGATTATAAAATCAGGAGCTTATATAACTTATTCTTACCCAGTCTTAGTCCGAAATGGGACTCGAGACATTCGCTTACCTGAAGGTAGTATTTCAATAGCATTAATTTTGCTCCAAGTCAGAATAGGAGGATATTGCTGCTTTCTTCAAAGGCATATGCCTTAATAACGGAAAATCAAAAATATGCTTTCGGTGAGCGGGGACAAATTAAGCGAGCTAGTAATCCTGATTAGCCTGAAGCATAGTATAAAGCAACCCTATACACATCACAGCGCTGGCTTATTGATCAAAATATCTTCAAATACCTGCGAAAGTGGCAGTCGCTACAAAGTTACTGCCGACGTAGCAAGAATTTATTTCTACTAACTTTCGATTCTTTTTTCAGTTCAATCAAATTCCGTCGCAATCATGGATACAGAATTCACTTATACGCATTGGCATTGTAAAAACGGTTCCATAAAAAGTTATACTCTCGCGTTGTGTTAGACTACTAAGGTTAACCCTAACGTCTGCGATCTTCCAGGCCAGATTCCTTAGGAGAAGAGAGAAGTCTTGGGAAAGCTAGATTGTTAGTAAGAGTTGATCCGACTGAGGAATAGATCGGTGCACAAACAAATTATAAGAGTATATTCTGTACAGAATGAATGGGAGAATAGGCATTAGGAAATTCACCATCAGACGACCGCATAACCGCAAGCCAGCGGACGGCATCTGAAGTGAGGTCTGCTCGGTAGTCGCCCAATGAGATCCTGTGTGAGTCGGCCTGTGATTGGCTGTT